TATTTTCGTATCTACAAATAATTAAACAGGCCATAAACATTATATCAATAATATTTATGTATTTTATTATATTACTATAGCATTTTAAAATGTCTTCTGAAAGAAACTCTTCATTATTTATCATATTATAGTGTATTATAATCTAATTTCTTCTTAGACGTATACAAGTGTGGGCTGATGGGTCATAGTCGATGATCAAACTGTACAATACTATATGGTGACTTAGATTATATACATAGAAAATTTAGTATTATCCTATTAAGTGGTCAAAGTATTGTGATTTTTATTTTTATATCATTAAACATTAATAATAACTAGACGTACCTAGTTMAATATCCATAAAAGTTAATTTGTTAAATTATTAATGGATGACGTTACTTGTAACATGAGAGCTGGTATATCTATTGTATATTTGGATGTTATTTTATAATGTTCTCCGTTATACATTTTTATCCTTATAATATAGCTTAGCATATTTTTTTCATGCAATTAATTGCATGTATGCCTTATAATAAGCAGTAGGCAATGTGACACGTAAGTTAAAGTATGTAATATCAATTTAATTTAATATGTCTACTCTGTCCCAACGGTCTGTGCATGCCTATATATAAAATACAAAATATTAGTGTTTAATCATGAAACGATGTTACTTGGTAAAATATCTAAGTACTTCATAAGGTTAAGTATAGATACTCTATAACCATATTAAGATAACCATATTATAGTTAATAACATTAAGTTTATACATTTTTATAAATTTCCCGTGATCGGTCAGTCATATTGTGTACAATACTATTTTGATTTAAAACGACGACTACGCTTTTACTCGCATTAGGTACCTAAACATATCAAGTATTATTACCTATTTATATTTTTAATCATCTTGTAATAATAAAAAGATATTCCACGTTTTAACTAACCAAAACTACGTAACGCACGCTAAATGGCAAAATAATGGATTTCATGCTATAACGGTAACATTAAACATATTACAACATATAAAACACGTTTTCGTCACCTATATAATTCAATAAACAATACGTAAAATTCTTTTAAAACATTTTTTAAGATGTTCAAGGCGTTTTTGAATTTTCATTATTAAGGCATTAAAAACCCACCCAACAGTAATTGTTTTTAATGATAACATTATTTTATCATTATAATACAATATTGCAATATATATTTATTTATCATTCGTGTCGCTGTGTTGTGCCACTGCAGGTGATCCAGCCGACGCCGTGCATGTCACCGAGCGGCGGCAGTCAGGAAAGTTTCTCGGACGTGCCTAGGCACACGGAACAGCTGTTGCCGGCGGCGTCCGAACGGTTCCGGAAACCACCGCAGCAGCAGCGGAAGACGGCGTCGTCGTCGACGGCGGCGCCGATCGCGTGCATCCGGACGTCGTGTAGCAGCTGCAGCGACGACGCCGCTTCCACAGCCACCACCGTCAACTCGTCAGTGTTCGCCGAAGAATGTTGTTGCTCGACGACGACGTCGTCGTCACCGCCGTCTCAGTTGCAGCTGACCGACCGCAACAACGCCGGTGCATCGTCGGCCAYCACGGCCGCCAAAGGTGAGCTAATTAGTTGTGTAGATTTTTTGATTTTTTGACAACAGACTATTTAACCTGTTTGATTGGCCGTCGTTGAAATAATTTGGCAGTCTATAGWCTGTTTAAAATAWAATATAATCAATCAAACTTAAATGAAAAATATTTTTGACACTTTTGGTTTTAAACACTATAACTATTTTTGTACATAATATTGTCAACAAAATTAATCCGCCTCTTTAATAAWAGTGATAAATTATAATGCTATAATTAGATACTGTAAGGTATGTTTCTTGAAAAAATTATACAATTTAATACAGAATAAACCCACTTGGCTCAGGAAACATTGAATTAACATAAAATACGGCACTTTATTGGTGTATTTCAGTTTCAGTTCATGGCAAATCGGTACATCGGTSTACTTCACTTTGTCAACTAATTCGACTGAGACGGTCAACCTACCTGTAGCGAACTTTATACAGTGTTTGGTAATTGGTGAATTTTCGAATGCGATTCAAAATACATTCAAAACTATCATAATATCTCTAAATACAATCTCTAAAATATTTGTTAAAATTTGTCAAGTTATTTCCAAGTCTATATAAGCCCCGCACACAAACACACATTCATTTTTATATAGAAATAGAATACTAATTGTATTCTATTTACCCGAATTCATCCGGGATAAAGTATTAATTTATCTTTTTATCGTTTTCCGTTTTCTCTGGTTGAAATATATAGTACAGACTACAGACACAATTCAATGGTTCATTTCATAATCTTCCACTTCTGAATTATGAACATATTACATATATACATACTTTTGACACAGACACAAAAAAATAAAGACGGATTCAATGAACACTTGAAAGTTATTATAATGTTAACCCAATATCATTAAGGTTGACATATTGGTCTTTACGTGATATTTACATAAAAAATATGTTCTCACGAATTAAAAAAAAATCAAATCAAATGTAATCATTTCTTCATTATAATATTGTGTTCATGAGTATTTAATTTTATCTTTTGTTTTTTGTTTTTTATATTCATGTTTAACGTATTATATGTCATATTTCTAGTAATTATAATAGTAATCTGTAACCAATGGCAACCATTTAAATAAATAAAAATAATCGATTTTTGTGATTCAAAACCGAATGCATGCGTAAGCCATTTTGTGGTAACCTATAGGGGTTGAACAAATAAACTATAAATACACGATACGAATCTCGAAGAGCTAATTGATATAACTTTAATTGCAAATAGTAGATTAGGTTTTGAGTTTATATAGAGGCAAAGCAAATAAAAAAAGCGGGTTAGTGGATGTCACCCAGCTACTTTATAACCTACCCTAACCTACTGGTTACAAGTGGGTTACTGGATGTTATTAAATTTGAATTCAATGATATAATATCATAGTATACAAAAAAAATTTTGAGAGGAGACGGTTTGTCAGTCTAAGATATGTTGTACTACATATATTAATTATATTTTTAAAAAATGAAGATACCTATAAAATAAATTCCAAATTAACTAAATCAGATTCATTATGTACCCGACTCACTCGGTCATTCATAGTAGGTATATAAAATGTATTATATAGTATTAATATAAGCCATCAACGACATTAACTATTAATATTAGAATGTAAAGTATACTCTAGAAATTTAAGTACCCACGAATAATATTTTTAAATTACAACAACATGACCAAAGTTGTTATTCTTGATTATTTAATATGTAATTTCAACCAAATTTGAACTTAAAATAACCATAAAAAAACTGTGTTTGTATA